ATTGATAATCCTATCTGCTCCAGACTCTACAGCAAGCAGCAATTAACGGTCCTCTCTGTGTCTTCTACAGCACTCTGGTCCTCCTCCTCCGAGGGCCCACCGGGGCGGTCTCCTCTCCTAGGCTTTCTTACACTTCCCTTTCTTTTCTCGCTGTTGGAACTTCCTCAGCCGCCTGGCCCACGTGTCCCTCCACTGTATGACCAGGCTGGTCTTGTCGGCCACCACCCCGTTCTGGTCGGGCGAGTCCTCGTCATTGCCCAGCAGCAGGTATTTTTTCATGGGTTTGAGTTTCGGGCACTTGCAAGCGATGTCCTTGGAACGGATCCACAGGCTCTGGTCCCCGCGGCGGATCCGGTTGCTTCCTTGCTTGTACACGGAGATCACGTTGACCGTGAACTTCCACCAGTCTCCCGCTTTGTCGGCCTTGAGGATGTGGATCTGGACCGCTGAAATAAAAGCGCAGACAGTTGAAGGGTAACTCCGCTTTAAAAATATGAAACATTTAAAAAAATGGCGTTTCTGGAATGTCCTAAATCTGTCCCAAAAATGAAATACAATTTGGCGACCTGAAGGCGTTCCGTACACAGAAATGTCACTTCCTGCTTCTGTGATTGGCTGACTGATTTCCCAGAAGTCTGCACGAATCTACAAGTATAATTTCTGGCATCCCGTGCAAAAGGATTTACATTTTTGGGGCGATACTCCCTAACAGGGACTGTTAGGGAGGGGGAGAGGATTAGAGCCCTCATTGGGTTTTTACTGGTTTCCTATTTCTTTTACACTCTGCTAAAAAAGGTTGTCACCATGACAGACAGGAAGTGAGGAAAAATCTGCAACAGCAACACAGACAGAGGCAAAACTCTAAATGGGAGTAATAGCAAGGCGCTGGACCCGGATCTATAGCCGACTCGTACAGCAACTTTGTTCTGACCCAATGGCCTAGGTTCGGCAGTTGCCCACATAACAGGGGTTCCTTCCCATATCCAGGGGTCGCCATGTTTAGGAGATCTGTATGTAGTCAAACGAAGGCAAAAAATGGCGCCACACCTCTGCTCTGAGGGTCCAGAAAGGTATTTTATTGATTCCGAAAATGGCAGAAGGCAAACAATAGGCAGCCAATGCGTTTCGGGGGACCCAACAGTCCCCCTTCATCAGGGCTTGGGTAACGCTAATGGACTCCTAGACCCCCATACACCTGGCTCCTAATATTGACACATGCTTTGACCTGCTTCAACTTTTCAACACAGAAGCTAAAATTTAGATTTACCTGCATGCCCCCTGTAGTTACAGACATGGGGGGGCTTCCCAGAATTGCCCCCCAGACACAAGGGACAGTTGGCGGCTCTGCACACTTTGTACACACCAGCTTGCGGTCTGCAGTTGTCACACTTGCCTCACACTGGGTGGTCAGGATCTGTGTATTTCCAGTCTGTCGGCCTCATAAAACAATTACAGACAATTAGCAGCCGCAGACAAACACAGCGAGCTAATTCTCGGCTCTCACTGAGGGCACATGCCAACCAGCTACCCGGAGCGTGCTTCGCGGCCGCTAATTGGGACATTTTACGCCACGTTAACACGCGCGTTGGACGCCTGCAGACAATGGTAGTGGCATTTGTGGGAATCCCCTCCCCGGTATAGAAAGGACTATCTGAGATCTGAGCTGCAACGTATCAGTTATAACACATCGATATGAACATTGGAGTATAATTGTATCTATGAACATTGTATTCCAGTTCCTGCTTTAGGGCCCGTTCACACTAAGCGTTGTGGCAGCGTACGTTGGTGACTGGCACCCCCAACGCACAGGCCAATGGAGTGCCAATCAGAGCGAATCACCAATGTACTTAACGTTGCCGCAAAATGGGCCCTGACGCAGGAATGTCCAACTGGGATACAATGTTGCAAGATGCAGTTATACTATAATGTCATGTATCGAAGTGTTATCATTTTGTATTGATCATCCGCAAAAAAATGCATCTCAATCACTTTTCCATAGCATGTTTCATGTTTACATCCATAATTAGGGTGTAACATAAAACAGGGTCAGATCGACTCCCCCCCTCCCCTTACCTGATTGGTGGGTTTACCTTTCTGAACTCGGCTCAGGTACGTGGGCAGATAAACGTCATCCATTCATGAATGGAAACACTACAAGTCCCATCAGAGGGAATACAAGAGTGGTGACATCACCGCACGTGTAGTCCATTGACACTTCTTCTATGTTGCGGTCTGTATTTTGGTACAGACAGAGGAAGAGTCTGCAGGAGGCAGAGCATTGCGCCCACAAATCGGCTGCAATGCTTTATTGGCTCCAATGCAAAAAATAATAAATGCAAATGTTTTCTTTGATGAAGAAGTCTGCATTTGTTTTTATTTTAAAAAGGTGGAATTTCCCTTTAAAGTAGATCTAAACCCCTAACCGATGACACTTTGTTACCTCACTCATTTTAAACTATTATAGTTTTTTTAATATAAT